GGTTAGGGTTAGGTTAAGGGTTAGGGTTAGGTTTAGGGTTAGGTTAAGGGTTAGGGTTAGGGTTAGGGTTAGGTTAAGGGTTAGGGTTAGGTTTAGGGTTAGGTTTAGGGTTAGGGTTAGGGTTAGGGTTAGGTTAAGGGTTAGGGTTAGGTTTAGGGTTAGGTTTAGGGTTAGGGTTAGGGTTAGGGTTAGGTTAAGGGTTAGGGTTAGGTTTAGGGTTAGGTTAAGCGTTAGGGTTAGGTTTAGGGTTAGGTTAAGGGTTAGCGTTAGGTTAAGGGTTAGGTTTAGGTTTAGGGTTAGGTTAAGGGTTAGGTTTAGGGTTAGGTTTCGGGGGGTTAGGTTTAGGTTTACGCATTAATTTTAGCTTTACGGCTCACAGCATGCTTTTTTTGTCGCGCTATGATAACGTCAGGTACGCGGTTTTGTCGAGCGCGCTTTAGTCGACCGCGGTTTTGTGGTGGAACTGTTTTTGCCCACCCAGAGGCACGAGAAAAGCCTCTGGAGGCCAGGGAGGGCAATCCTCTCCCCCCCCCCCGTGGTGCAGGAAGCCGACTAGGCCACACCCACCCAGTAACCAGGCAGAGAACCCCTTGCTAAATTATTTGAAGGCCAACCCTGGGTAGGTTTCAAAAAAATGTTGTTGATCAATTTCATGAGCATAGGCTCTCTTATCCATTCCAAAAAGAAGAGAGTTTTCAACAAGTAAGTGTTGCAGATTTCCCCTTGCACATAAGGTAGAGGGATAACAACCTGCTTTGCATCTTAAGAATTTTGTGGACTAGCTATGTAACCCAGCTATTCAGATAAAACCCGAATAAAACAATGTTAACTTCAAGGAGGAAACCCTGCCACAGTTTTTTCTTGCTTTTCAGACATTCCAAGAAGAGTTATATTTGAAAATGTTTCCTCTGAGTGCCATTGTTGTTTTACTTCTAATACCATCTATGTCTTTGAACACAGAAAGATGAACCCGATGCCTTTAAAGAACTGGGTACCGGCAATAGAATTGCTACGTGGCTATTCTACGTAAGTAAGATAAGATGTTAGGATGTCCACACTTACAATGCAGTCAAGGAATTTGTCTCAGTGGGAAAGAAAATATCAGTTGCTGAAGAACACAACAGAGGGGTTGTGTGTCTGTGTGTTGGTGGTGTTCTGATTTGTTATGGCAGCCTAGAAGGTCAAATGTTTTGTATTACACACGGCCGTTTGGGAGAAACATTCTGTATTGTACATCATGAGTTATGTTTTTAAAGGCGAATGGAATGAACCAATTTTTATAAAACAGTGTCCTTAGCTAGATATCCCTTATCATAAATATCCAGTAAGAATATAATATATGTGCTTGATCAAATCAAAGATTGTCCCCTTCAGTGCTGTGTGTGTACCAGACTATACCGCTGGACATATTCTAAGTCAAGAGAATTGGCACATTAAATTAAGATTGTCACCTCTAAATGAGAACGCTTCCCTGAAGTCTGTCAAGCAGACAAACCAGTTTTCACAGTACAGTACTTCAGCTGTGACTTTTAATTGAAGATTTAGAACTTTGTACATCGAAACATTAATTTACCATTGTGCTGCCAATTAAGCCATTATTCTGTTATCGTGGTGCCCAACCAAAATGCTTCTGGGGAACCCATCAAGGAGCCATGAGCAAAAGATTTCCTCTTCTTCCTGTATTTTTTCCCCTTCAAATAAATATTGAAAATCGTAAGATTTGTTTGCCGCCCATTTCAGTTCAAGGCGACTCCGGGCAACTTACAGCAATGAAAGCCAGTAAAACCAAGAAGAATAAATATTTTTCATAACAGTAAAGATTAAATTAAAAAGATGGGAAGGAAGGGAGCAAGATGCATTGGGGGGGGGGGGGGAGGTTTTCTCTTAATCTAACCACTTCCAGCATGTTACCTTGTATTTTTCCATCTATAAGATGCCACCATGTGTAGGACACCCCCATGTTTTATGTAGAGTAAGTAAGCACACTACAAGCCATCACTGTGTAGAAGACATCTTATTAGAGAGTGAGTAATACAAGAACAGGAAATGAACAGGGGAAGGGTAAAGGGGAGGAAGGGGAAGGAGAGAAGGGAAAGGAGAGGAGGAAGGAAGGAAGGAGAGAAGAAAGAGAAGAAAGGGGGGTAGGAAGGAGGGAGGGAAGGAAGGAGGGAAGGAAGGAGGGAAAGAAGGAGAGAAGAAAGGAGGGAAGGAAGGAGAGAAGGAAGGAGAGAAGGAGAGAAGGAGAGAAGAAAGGAGGGAAGGAAGGAGGGAATGTAGGAGAGAAGGAGAGAAGGAGAGAAGAAAGGAGGGAAGGAAGGAGGGAATGGAGGAGAGAAGGCAGGAGGGAAGGAAGGAGGGAAAGAAGGAGAGAAGGAG